GTATTTTTTTAAAACTTTTACGGTTTGAGAATTTCTTAAATTAAATAAAATGGAAACAGCAACTAACTGTTAATTTTGGTAAGTGAACGTCCTCGTCCACGTCTTGGGCCAGCCTGCACTCTACTCATGGCTAGCTGGCAGCTGGCCGGCTCTGGTCGGGTCGGCGGCACAACAGACTTGGCCCGCAGCCCGCTACGCTGGAGTGGACTCGGGCCGGTCGGCCGACGAACACTTTCAAATTCTGCCCAGGGCAAGCGAAAAAGTGTGGAGGGAAAAAAAGTGAGCAGAGAAACGGCCGTCGTCTTCCTGTTACAAAATAAAGATAATTAACACCTGAAACAACTATTTTTATGATATTGCCCATGCCAATTCGCTCGTTAACGGCATTGGACATTAGTAGATGGAGTATTATGCTCGAGTTTTTTTGCCGGAGCTACAGCGCCACTGACCAATACGTCTGCCGGCGCGTGTGTTTGTTTGCCTGTCCGGGCGAGAATACGCAGCAGGGTTCCCTATACGCATCGGCCGCGTTCTTCCGTTCCCCTCTCGCCCTTTGCGCCTGAACGCCAGTGCGAAGGCAACCCATCGAGCGTGACATTTGAAGTCTTGTGTGCGATTCAAAATATCACACGTAAAAGTGTGCATGATACCAGTTATGTCACACACACGCTCTTGTGTCGGAGAAGTGTACACTCTTCAGCATAAGTTGTTCACTCTTCTGTGATGCATATCTGGCACTTCACTATGCATGGCAGCGCTTAACTAACTCTTTGTGTGTGACTCGCACTGTTAAGTCTACGACCGTCTCACTCAACTGGATCGATAATTATTTGCGCGTTTCGTAATACGTTACTCGCGCAAGGGGCGTGTGGCCACTGATATCCGTTTTGTGATACTTCAACTCAATTTTTGCGATGGTGTTTTGCGATTCCCACGATAATGGGTATCATAAGTCCAAAAATGTGATGAGTATCACATTTTTGTGAAAAAAGTATCACATTTTTGTGAAAAAAATATCACATTTTTGTAAAAAAAGTATCACATTTTTGTAAAAAAAGTATCACATTTTTGTGAAAAGTATCACATTTTTGTGAAAAAAGTATCACATTTTTGTGATAAAAATATCACATTTTTGTAAAAAAAGTATCACATTTTTGTAAAAAAAGTATCACATTTTTGTGAAAAGTAAAAATATCACATTTTTGTAAAAAAAGTATCACATTTTTGTGAAAAAAGTATCACATTTTTGTGATAAAATCATCACAAAAAATGTAATGAAATAATTTTTGTGATAATTTTATCACAATAGTGCGATACTTTTTATCACATTTTTTTGAGTTATCATGCCCTTTAGCGTGGTTATCGCATGGTTTTGTGTTAAAAGTATCGCAAAACCAGACTCAGTGGGATTTCGTACATCTACCTAGTTAAATTTTGAGGCACTTTGCCGCCACCTGCGGGACTCCTACGCTACGCGCGTCGCTGGCGAGGACGAGTGGTGCGGCGTTGATTTCGGCGCGTACTCGCGGCCACGCGCAGACCGAGGCATGCGCATTAGTGGGTCACTGTAAAAAATATTAGTAATTTTACAGTTCAGTGGGCT